GAGAAACTTCTTGTGCAAAAATTATGTGAAACTGTTCTTCCAAGTATTGCTGAGACACACAGTATCATTTTTCTTCTCATTGTGGAGAAGAAGTTTTTCTTTGTAGGAAGCTCATCTTCAATTATTGATGGAATAATATTATCACAGTTGCAGTTACGATCCATTAAGAGATGTAACTCAGCTGGCTAAAAATACATAAGGAATACTTAAACTACACATGAATATTCTGCTGTTCTGCACTATAGCCTGGGCTAGTAGATCTTGGATATTGTGTTCCACAATAAATACAAATGACAAAAACATCATTAGAAAGCAGATTAAAGAGTGTGAGAGTATCCACAAAACAAACTAAAGCAACACTGAAAATTTATCTTAAGCTGTCTTTCTCTATTTTTCTGTAATAGTTGAAATAATTTCTGTGAAGTTTAAGAACAGGTTAATGACCTATTGCTTCTAACTGTAAGATCCTGAATAAAAACTTCCGTTGATGGAGATCAGAAGAGTACATGGCTATCTCCAGAAAGTGGTTTGAAAAAAAATGAGCTTTGCGAGGATGGCCTCTTCAGATATTCCTTTAATCCCCACTTCTTTGCCTGGGGTGATCAAAACCTTCAGCAGTTAACCAGATGTCTGTTTTGAGATTTGATACAGTCTCTTCACTTGGTTTCTTAGCGCTTTGATTTGGTTTGCTTCCTTGGGGTAGCTTTGTGCAGACACTGTCTTGAGCTCACATAAAATCTGTTCTCCCTTCTGTTACACGGCCTCACTTCTGTCTTGCGAACAGCTGAACACTACGATGAAAACTTCTGCCTGGTGTTCTCTGCTTATAAGCTGTTGACCCTAGTTCAAAATCCCTGGAAAAGTCTTGAATGTCTTCTGCAGAAAAGAATCTATCAGAACAGTTGTGTTTCTGTCTTATTTGAGCTAGTGTATTTCTCATTAAACTATGCATTTAGGTATAATAATTTTCATATGATAAAAAACTATCCTATGAAGTAGTCACCAAATAGCCCTTTCAGACCTTCTTTCTTCATGAGCTGTGATTACCTTGGTGATAATGTAAAGTACAGAAGTAGGGGTAAGAGCAATGTTCCTTTTCTTTTTTTTTTTTTAAGTCTCAATTAGGAAGTCACAGTTTTGACTTTTTTCAGTTATTCAGTCTTATAGTGGCAGAAAGAATTTTGTTTAATCTGTTATTGTTCAAAGTTTTTTTTTAAGTCTTTGTCAGAATTCAGAATACAGTCAGAATTCTATACCAGAAATGAGTTTTAATAAGTTGGTTAATGTTGCTAAATGTTACTGTGCAAAAATTTGAATGATTGATTGTACCTTGCTCTTAAATATGAAAAAAATAGGTAAGATGTCCCTGAAAATAGCAGTTGGGAGGGTCAGACTAAAATGTTTTACCATTCTTCTTTGCCTCCCTCTGTGCATAATGCTTAAATAGTTATTTTTAATGTTTTTTTGGACCAATGATCACGAAGAAAATAATTCAATTTGAAACAAGGGAACTGAGCAAGTAAATGTTATCCAGTTTTTGCCTAGAGCTTTATCTTTTGTTACTTATGTTTTCAATCACATGTGCTTTATGTTGCGCAGTTTTCCAACCCATCTTACTCTACAGATGTTTTAAAAGGTCATAAAATGATTTTTTAATGTAAAGGTACATTGAGGGAGAGAGCATCATGGAAATATTTGACATCTTTTCAGATTTGTATAGGAATAGGCATTTAAATAAGACTGATTAAAGTAACCATCTCCTTTTAATTGTCCTGTTTTGTTGTTGTTGTTACTGTTTTTTCAACAAACATTAAACAGAACAGTTAAACAATGCGTTATTTTCTTGCATAAGCAGTAAGAAATCACAGAATCACAGAAATGTGTTTTTGCCCAGGGAAAAGCTGGACTAGAGTTCACATCACAGTCCCTTTAGTATGGGTAATTAATTGCCCTTCTGGGAGTGCCCGACAGTTGGCAAGAAGATCTATGTGGCAAACCCTACTCACTCACGCAAAATCAGCTGTGTTTGCTGAAGTGATTTCAGAACATGTCTGGAGTTGCCCAGAGCACACTGAGAAGTGTTCACCTGAGCCGTGTGGCCATAAATGGTCTCTTCTAGGCAGCATTTCCAGCTGGCAGCAATATAGGCAGCCAAGAACAGTAACATTTCACCCCCACCAGCTCCTGGGGGACACTTATGCACCCTTGCTTCTGGAGCGCTGGGAAGGTAGTTTGCGGACTGAGTTTTCTTCTGTCTCCCCTGCTGAGTGTGTAAATGAGCATTTACAGAATCACAGAATCATACCGTTTGGAAAGGATTTCTGAAGATCATCTAGTCCAACCTCACTGCTAAAGTTGATTGTGTACAGATTGAAAGCAGACTGGAAAACAGACAGGCAGGTTTTGAGTATCTGCAGAGAACGCGGCTCCGCAACTGCTTTCTGGGCAGTTGAGTTGTTCCAGTGTTCTGCAATCCTCAAAATGAAGGAATTTTTCCTCATGCTCGGTTAGAACTTACTGTGTTTCAGTTTGTGCTCATTGCTCCTTGTTCTGTCACTGGGCATCACCAAAAACAACCGGGCCCCATTCCTCCCACTTTCCTCCCACTCTTTAAATTTCTGAGTGTTGAGAAGATACCTCCTTAGTCTACTCTTTGTCAGGCTGAACAGTCCCAGGTCTCTCAGTCTTTCTTCGAAGGTAGATGCTCAAAGCCCTTCATCATATTTGTAGGCCTTTTCTGGACTCTTTCTAGAAGGTCCCTATCTTTCTTGATCCAAGGAGCTCAGAATTGAGCACAGAACTCTGAATGTGGCCTCACCAGGGCAAAGTAGGGGGAAAAGACCACTTCCATCAGCAGAAATGCTTGAAAATGTTCAACAGGTTCAATTTTGGAAGTGGTGGATGAGTTTGGCAGTTGTAGCAAAAGTTTAATATGAACTAGAGCTCAACATAAAGCATTAGTGGCAGGATTTATGCTGAGCCAAGGGCAGAAATGTAGGAATGTGTAAAAGTGTGGCAGGTCTACTAAATGGTGAATGGTTCTTGATTGGGCAAGACCCTTAGCACCAAACATGACTTCAAAATGTGTCCAGATTTGAATGAGGGCCTGAACTAAATGAACAACCCTTCCAGCCTAACTTGCTCTGTGACTGTCATTCTTGATGTGTTTACACAGAATAGTGTAAAACAGCATGTTAGGTCAGACACGCTTTGCATACAGGTTTATCCCAGTGAGCGTGTTGCATTCTGATCATTCGTGTTAGTGTAAGTGTTATAGTGAGCACTGTAACAGCTGCAATTGGTAGTAGTCAGAAAAAAAATCTAAATACTATAATTGTATGTAATTTTAGCAAACTGAGAAAATGATCTAAGACTGCAGTCATAATGCTCAGCTGCATATAAACCTGAATAAACTGTTGTTACTGTTTGAGTGTTGTTACTATATGAGTGCAGATATTTCTTTTGGGACCATTCTAGTAAATGAGATAATTCTTAGTGTATTCATGTTGGGGGTGTTGTCAGGTTATCTTCTCTTCCCTAATTTCCCTTATCCCTCCTAAGAATTGCTGTAATTTTTGTATCTCAACATCTATAAACCTCATGTGCAAAAATGCCAAATTACAGCTTTACAGGAGGAGAATCTAGACTAGCCATGACTGTTAACAGGGAAGGTTCGTGCCCTGTGACTCAGAAATGAAATGCTGAGAGGGATTTTGTTTTAATTTTCTTCTATTTCAATCTTGGCTTTCTCTCTACTTCTCCCTGCACCCTGTAATCTCAATTTAAGCCTAGAAACAATTCAGAATCTAAAATTACTGGCATGACAGCGGCTTCACTGGCATTCACTGGTGATATCCATTCCTCAAAAATCAAAGCAAGAAAATTGTCCCAAAGCATACCTGCACACTGTCTGGGATCTGCTTTTCTTAGGAAGTTAAATTGAGACAAGTTTACGTTGCCAAATTGGGTAGCATGGAAACATCCTTTCATCTAAGAAGTTTTTGAGGCAGATTTATTCTGTAGTTAGATGATGCAACTCTATTTAAGAATAAGTACTAAAATTGACAGGTGTATATATTCTGAAAAAAAAAAAAAAATTAATTTATTAATTACACATATTTTTGACAATTTGTTATTTAACAGCAGGGTTTTGGTGCAGATACCAATGCAGACATGCAGTGTGAGAGTTCTCTGTCCATAATTTGAGAGGTCTGTGAACAAAGACTTTCTGCTTAGGCTGTTTTATTTCTTTGGTGCATTTTTTTTTTTGTCAGTTTCTATGAGTGGCAGGGTATTTACATCTCTTCAATCAAGGAAATAAGATGGAAAGGTTATATACCATTGTGAGGTGTCTTACCGAAGGGCAGATAGAAAATGCTGCCTGCTAATAAAGAGGAACCAAACCAAAAAGTGCCATTAGCTGTTGGCTTTGTGACTTGTGGCTGTGGCTTTGTGATCTGAACCAAGAGGACGTTAAGAAGTTGGCAGCTGTGCATTGGTAGCTGAGAGTCTGCTATTGCACTTGAAGCAGTGTCAGAAAATGAGGCTGTGAATTGTTAATTGGCTTGCTAGGAAGAGAGGGAACATTGTTGCTTAGTTGATTAAGATGATGAAACGTTACAAAATGTCAGATGGAGAGGTAAGTTAAATGGACAGATCTGTGTTTACTCATCTAGCCATTACTGTTTCTGAAACAGTAATAAAGCTTCTTCTATAAAATAATTAGTAAGTATTACTTTTAAGTAATGTAAAATTAGCCTTGCAGATGTTACATTTATTGTTTCCAAGTTATTGTAGGAAACATAGTAGCCATTTTCTGCAAAAACGTTTTTTGAGGAATTTTATGCAGGCTTCATAAGAATATCTTCATTTTAATCACATAAGTCGCCCAGAACTAGGAGTGATAATATTTCAAATGAAGCTACTTATGCAAAGAAGTAATGGTACCTTGAAACTGTTACAGTTAATTTTGTATATGTTGCTACTAATTATTTCAACAGGTGACTGAGCTAGAGTGTGTGAGCAGTCAAGCCAATGCAGTCCACACACATAAAACAGAATTAAATCAGACAATACAGGAATTAGAATCTACACTGAAGAAGAAAGAAGAGGTATTTGCTAAAGTTTATTTATTTATTCACTGTTACATCATTTCTAAAAATTTTGGATATTAATCTTGCAATGACTGGTAAACACTGTTATTTCATACAGATGTTAACAAGTTAAAATAATCGTTCAGCTGATTTGAAAAAAATTAATATATTTTTAATTATATAATTGCAGTTGAACATAGATCATTTTTTTCCTTTGTGGTATCTCTGAGATCTTTGCAAAAATAAATCTACATTGTGGCAGAAGTGGTTTCTTTAGAGCAGTTATCCTCACACTGATGCTATGAACACTCAGTAAGAAGGAAGACAGTCATAAGCATGCTTTCTTTTTCTAGAGAGGGGGATTTGGAGCAAGAAATTGACCAATGCTCTTTTCCGACCAGTCTGTTTTTCAAGCTCTATTAATATAGCTGATTTTTATGATCCCTAAGATCAGCCTTTCAAAGCAAGTCAAATCTCCAGCCAGTAACAGGACTGATATTTCTTGTGCATCTGCCTTTATTCTAGACCCATCACCTAGAAAAAGGAAAAGGTTGGAATAAGACCTGTACTGACATGGGTCCTAGAGAAAAGCTACAGAATGATTGAGAATCAGCCCTTTTAGGATAGGGAAGAGGTGGAAGGAGCCTCATATGATGGTTTGTTTGCCTTGTTCAAGACCAGATTCTTTGAAGTATACAATTTTCAACTGCAAGAATCTTTAATACTCTAGGAGAAAATTTGTTTAATCTTTTGAAGCAGAAGAAGCTTGGACTTCTGTAACAAAGAAAATACTTATTATTGTTGTTTATTCACAATTGAATGGCCTCTTCAGGATTATGATTCAGGAATATTGACAGCATGGCTTATTTAACATGCAGTAGCCAGTTGCCCATTTTGGTACTTTAGCTACGGCTTATTCCAGAGAAGAAAAAGAAGTCAGCTTACCTGCACTGAAGCCAAACCACATAATGTCTTGTTAAAGGGATTGTTTGTTCTCCTTTAGGAAATCGAAAGATTGAAACAAGAAATTGACAATGCCAGAGAACTCCAGGCACAGAGGGATTCTTTGACCCAGAAGTTACAGGTGAGCTGTACCGCATCATCTTCATTTAGATAGAAGGGCAAAATGGTCTTCAGGTGAGCAGATTACATCAGCAATTTATGCTGCATTGGTTGAAGCTGCCAGATCAATCTATAAGTGGTGGGTCAGGATGCTCCTTGGGAATTTATTCCACAATTTCCACCTGCAATAAAATACTACATTTTTCCTGAGGGAACTGACCCAAATTCCTTTTAGAACACCACAGATCTCCACCCAACTCTGGAGCTGAAATGAATTTGAATTCAGACTTCAGCATTTTGATACACCTGGAAACTCAGGCATTAAATAGTTCCAAATCCAAAGCGCTAAATTTGACCATCACTGTTCCTTGTACACCTTGACCCAATTCACACTAAATGCAAGCTCCATCGCGCTGTACGCAGCTAAGTGATCATTAAATAAGTATCCTTTGAAATAGATTATATGAATTGGAACTTTCTTGAATCTCATTTTTAACCTAAAGAGTATACCATATAAGAACGAAAGTACTTTATTCATTTTCCTCCATCCTTTTTTTTTTTTTTTAAAGTATGTTATTAGGATGTTACTTCGAAGATTGTTTTTAATATCAGTTCCACTACTCTAAAAATTATTGCTGAGTTTAGACTAAGCATGGAAATTTTCATCTGAAAAGGAACTTATCTGAGAGACTTAAAAAAGAGATAATAATGAAAGTTGGAAGTTGTTCTTGTATGTAATAATATCAGTGTGAGATCTCATGACAAGTAGTAATGAGTTGGAAAGCAGCTATCCTCAGTAAGCAGAATAATGAGAGACTAGTAAAAGATCAAAGATGTCTTAGAATTAAAGAATGCTGTCTTTATTAAAAATTATAAAGTTTGCAGCTTTTTTCTTGCATATGGATGTCTTCAGTTAACAAGTAGATTTATTATGTATGTGTCCATATGTCACTTTGTAGGTGATCAGTTTCTTAAGTGGTTCTATTGAAATAAGTTTAAAGCTGTCTTAAGATCTGAGATAGAAGTTGCTGTTCTTCAGGTTCAAGCTTGTTGCTGACCAGATGCAGCTCTTTTAAAAGATCTTGAATCTTTGCTTACTGCAGCACTTCCCCGGCTTTGATAGTAACAGCCTTCTCTGAATCCTTCACCCTATGTCTGTGATGTCACAGAGAAATGGTGTTTTCATCCATAGCCCCAGACTGCCTATCTCACATGTTAATGTAGTAGACCTGTTGCCTGGATGGATGTTTCTAGAGTCTGTATCTGTTCATCACACTCTTTTCTCTTCTGATTTATGTTTTCCCCACTTGTGTTCACAAATGGATTACATAACTAATTGGAATGCAGCCTGTATGAAAAGCGCTGTCCAAAAATTATTATTTCAAGTTATTTTGCATTTCTGACACACCTGTGTCAGGGAATTACTTAGAAATCAGTCATAGGCAAATTTCAGTAAGTATGCTATCACTGTGAAAGGTAAATATCAGGGCCTTTGTTACGTAATAATTTTGTTAGCTAAGACATACGAATGAGTCATGATGAGTGTGACTCTCGTGATAAGTGAGGATATCTTTATTACTGTCCTGATCCCCGAGTATAGCTGTTGTATATGGTCTGAATATTTTATTCTGGTCTTTTCTCTGACTTCCCCAAGAGATCCATACAGTGCAAACACGTACTTCTGAGTAATTTATTTATTTTCTAAGAGGAAGTAATATACGAAAATACATTATGTCTTCTGTAAGAGCATCGAAAGACAATGTCCAGAGCCTGAATGGATCATCAGTGTCAGTTTATTGTCAGCTGGGATTAACTGCATATAACGGGAAGTTACAATACAACTAAGGGAACAGACTGTGTTACATGGGTACCTCTCCGCTTCTTCCATTAATAAGGAGCAGTTTTGAGGAAAACTGATTTGCAGTGGGAGGCTGCAAGCTAGCAGGACATGAGTTCTCAATTCAGTATTGTTATAAAAATCACTAATACTCATCCAGGCTAAAGATGTGTCGGGATCAAAAATAACAGCTGGGAAGTAATGTTTTTCAGAAATTAATTGCAAAAGGCTTAGTCAGTTCTGCATGAGCTATGGGTAGGACTGTGCCATCCCAGCAGAGCCAAGAGGACGCTGAGTTCCCTGGCTCAGCCTGGACATGGCTGCTTGGCTTCAGGGTGCTGAGCCATCACACAGCACCATGTGCCACAGAGCTTGGTCTGCAGGCCGGGTGCAGGACAGCCTGCAGTGGGCAGGCTGGGTGACAGTCAGCTCTTTTGTTTCTGACAGCTGTGAGGTAGCTAGTCATTACCTAGGCACACATCTGTTTTAATTTATGCTGTGCCTACAAACAGTCTTTTTCAGTTGGTTTCCTTTAATCCTTTGGCAACCATATTGATCTGTGTCAAATGGGTTAAAATAATTTTCATGCTGGCAGCAAGGGGTAATTCCTGTCAGCTGTGCCGTTCAAGACCAGTGGCCAAAATTCTGTTGCAGAATCACATAATTGTAAGGACTGTAAGGGGCCTCTGGAGATCACCTAGCGCAGTGCCCTGCTACAGCAGGTTCCCTACAGCCAGTGGCACATGTAGGTGCCCATGAGGGTTTTGAGTAGCTCCAGAGAGTTTTAAAATCTTTGTTAACTTGCCACTTTACAGAGGAGCAGTGAGCGAGGTATTCCAGTTACAAGGAGATGAGATTAGAGGTCCTGAGCTCAACAGTTCTCCCTGTCCAGGCCTGGGGCTCTGCCTTCCACCCCTGTGGCACTTGCAGAGCTTTGAGAGCAACAGAGGAATGGCAGTGGAAGCAGTGGGAGGTGGGAAGGCAGGAAGAGAAGCTTGCTGCTGGCAGAGGCTGCTGTGGGGTGCCAGGCCTTCCTCCCTAGGACTGGTTGAAATGGGTTGGTCTGAAAGCTCAGAGCAGCTCTGTTAAAGCTTTGTGCTGCAAAGCTGCTGTAAAGAAAGGAGGTATTTTAAAAATGCTAGCGTATGTAAGTACTAATTCAGAATGCACTTTTCTGGAAATGGCTGCTCAAGGTGCATTAAGTACACTGTTCCTGTGCTGCCTGCAGAAGTGGTTTCCATAGCTAAAATTAAGAAATTCCACAGGAATATTTGAGACGTGCAGTGAATGAGAGCAGCGTGCTGTTGCAAAGCAATGTGACCATGCTCCAGCAGTGAGATATGAGAGAGCCCCGGTGTGTGCTAGGTGCAGAGCTCATCTGCACAGCTCCATACTTGTGGGAGGCTGCTCCAGGTCACAGCTTGTGCTTGTGTTTTTAAATATGCTACCGGTGATTTCACCTTGATCAGTCCTGCTAGGTTTTACTCCAATCTTAATTTTTAGTGTGAAAAAAGCCTGAGACAGAAGTTAGGCGGTATTCCTCGCAACACAAAGCAGTGACCAGGTTGAGCTTCTGTGCGAGGCCACCTCTTGGGGACTCTGCCCTGCAGCAATTCATCCAGGTTAAGTAAGGGGACCTGAAAAGCCATTTTCAGTGAGTGCCGTATTTCCAAATCTTAGAGTGATAACTGAACATAGCACATTGTATGCCAACAAAATTTTATTCTTCTCCAGAAGCGTCTGTCCTTCAGATGAATTACTAAAAAAAATGGAAGAAAGGTTAGATATTCAGTCCTAATAGAAATGTCAGTTCTGGTTTTAGTACTACGGAGTCTTTAAAGGATTGCACATTGTTCTGAAAACAAAAGTAGCTCATGAATACCAGGAGGAGGTTTGACTGCTTTCTGTTTGTAGACAATACGTTAACATGTTATGTATTTTCTCTGAAGGAAGTAGAAATTCGAAACAAAGACCTGGAAGGCCAGCTGTCTGACCTAGAGCAACGTCTGGAGAAAAGTCAGAATGAGCAAGAAGCTTTTCGCAATAACTTGAAGACACTTTTAGAAATTCTTGACGGAAAAATATTTGAACTAACAGAATTACGAGATAACTTGGCCAAGCTAATAGAATGCAGCTAAAGAAAATGGGATTTCAGTGCCAATCAGCTTAAAGATGCACTGTCTCTCTTCGTAGGACTTTGTTGGGCTCTGCATCAAAGTTGCACAAAATTAGAAATGCTCCTCTGAGAGGGTTTGTTTTAAATTTGAGTCATATTTCAATGTAAAATTCAGAACTCAGCTTGTAGCTAGCTGAAGAGAAAAAAAGAAACAACAAAAAGCTTGAATTACAAATTACCTCCTTGTACTTTATTGGCCATAGATAACTTGAATGGTATTAACACTAATTGAATGCAATCCTTTTCTAATTATCAGTGATAGAAGAATTACCAGTGTCCCAGATACATCTGTTTTTTGTGACAGACACAATATAGGCCATCTTCTCTTTTATTTATTTAATATATTTAATTGCTATGTTTTGTGCAAGAACTTACTGATGACAGCCCTGTATTTTGTTGTTAATAATTTCTCAGGATTCTTTGCGCTGTGGAAAAACAGTGCCATTACCAATTTATTCTTGCCAGGAGTGAGAGAAAGTTGCATCTTTAATTGAAACAAAGTTCCTAATTGCTTGTGTGAAGTTATTCTTTTTGGGTATTTCAGTTGGTTGGTCAGCTGGTTTTTGTTTGTTCGTTTGTTTTTTTAATCTATATATATACTGGGATATACCGTATTTCTTTATGGAGCTTACTCTGGTGTTCTACAATATTGTCCACTGTAAGGTTTACATTATCATATGAATTCCTTGTAATTACAGTGAAATACTATTTCCACTAAATCTGTATGTTGAAGCCAACCGATGATGGCAGGTGAGTCCCCGAGGAAAAAAAGAAAAAAAAGGAAAAATGAGAATTTTGAATGTAAGATTTGACATGCACAGATAACGAGGAGCAGCTGGTCATTTGCTGTCTGGCCTTGCTACATATTTCAAATACCTATGTCAAATTAACTGTTAGCCTGTTCTGCAGGAGACTTTCTCAGAATGTCACATGAATTTCAGATTTTGTGAATAATGGCTTATGGGGAGCAATATTTATTAAGACTGCATTAAGGGCAAGAGATGTTGCAAGGGACTACTTGGACACTGAAATTGTCCAGCCAAGAAGGGTGTTTGTAAAATTTTTGCTGTCACAACAAGTTGAAATGGAGACGTGTTTACTCTCTTATGGGTCTTCATATCACATCCTTATTGAAACAACACCAAGCAGTATTCACAACTGCTAACAAAAAGCTTAAAAACAGGAGAAAATTGAATCTTTATCCTCAATGAGCAGGTTTTAAAGTTGTTTTGAGGAAGTTTTAACAGACTTTTGGCAACCACGCATTTCTTTATATAATAGATTTACTTAAAAAAAACCAACAACAGAAACCAACTCCGAAAGGTAAGTCAAGTGTGACGTGTCTTGCTTCAAAGTACATTCTTGCCATAAACTAATTGCTTATGATTTTGAAGAGGGCTTTTTTAAAATGTATGAATGAGTGTCAGACTTCAGAGTTGAAAGATGCACTGTTTGCTCCCCAGGTTTGTTTGAATGTTAAACATGAAATCTAGCTGCTTATAAATTTGTACAACATGATTTTCTCCACTTAGAGACTGCTACTGAAAACTAGGAAAGATAAGTTTGTTTTTGTGTGTATTGTATGTAAGTACCATACAATACACACAGGTTATTTATATTAGAAATACATGCTTTATTTCTAAAATACGTTTTTTTTCTCTTTACCAGTGATTTATCAGGTGTCCCCTGACTAGTCAGGAAAGTGGTTTAGGTCAAATTCTAAACCATCATGTATTATACTGTATGTAATGTACACAATGTTTAAGTTTTATCCATATTTTTAGGGTATTTTCTCACCTATTTTCTTTATTGATGGGGTAGAGGAGCTTGACTCAGTGTGCTACTGGTTGAAAACTTTGTGGTGAGCTACATGTTTTTCTTTCAGTGATTTTAGGCAGTGATGTGTACATCTTCATCAGGTCCACATGAGCAAATATCACAAGATTTCAATTTAACTGGGGATGTTTGGGCCCGATTTTCCTGTCACTTGTGCTGCTGTAAACCAGATGTGTCCCTGATGTGGTGTCAGCAGTGTTTAGCTGGCATAACATTGGAGGAAATGCAAGGAGAATCTGGCCCGTTAATTACTGCTCAGTGGACATAATAAGGATGAAGAAAGAATAAAAACATTAGAAACTTGATGATGGAATAAATGTAATATTATTTTTAATGATATTATTATTGACATTTTTAAAGATATGATGTCATTTACATGTGGGAAAATAGTGGACAGAAATACTTCCACTTAAATTTTGTGAATATGTGTGGTACATGAGTATTTCTATGTATACGTACACACACATATGTATATAAAGAACATGAAAAAATTTAGATGTGCACATTTTTAATATTTTCCTATTGAAATTAAATTTTAAATTGGAAATTGATATTTGAGAATTTCTTTTCTCATTCAGTAGATATGCTTCATTTCATTTTTTACAATTACTGAGGGCTGCACCTTTGAATTCCCAAGCAGTTGTCAAACATGAAATGGGATAAGGTAGACTTACGTGCACATATAAATAAAATCTGAATGCTATGAGTATTTTTAATGTTTATTTACAATAGGTGGGTGTTTAGAGTTTGAAACCTGAAGTTCATTCATAGGTGGTTATGCCTACTGTAGCCTCTCCAATTCTGTTTCAACATAATAGTTTGCTTCTTTGAAACGTGACTTTTCCCAGATACAGGTATTATGAATTGTATCTATCTTTGATGAAACTGTGGGAATGTGTGTACCTGAAAACACTGTTGAGTACTACAGGTTGAAAAACAACATCATCTTGTGTAGGAGAGGCGAGCAGCCACATTGCATAGACTTTGTTAAATGGCAACTATAGTCTTGTTTAAAAAAAAAAAAAGAAAAAAAAAAAGAGCAACAAGAATTACAGTGAGGAAAAACAAGCAACTGATAAACATCTAACAAAAACTGAAGAAAAATCAGAAATACAGCTTTTATTTTGAAATACACTTGCTGTTCTCTGGAGAATGTACTTTTACTCTTTATTTTTTTCCTTATATCTTTTCAAGTCTGTGCAAGTAATAGCAGCAGCTACCTTAATCTTTCAGGTGCTACTGGATTTTGCATTAGCGTGTTATGTTGTGAAATCCTGACTCTGACATAAAAGATTTTTGTAAGTATATTCCCGTCCAGATAGTTGGTTTTTGGAGTGTCTTGTTCATAATCCATATGCCTCAATGATCCAGAAATTGCATTTTTCTATGTGCACAAAGTAAAATGTGTGAATTAATGTCTGTTACAGACTGGGGATTCCTTTTCCTGGCTAATATACCAGGAAAGAGGCAAACAAAATGAACTGATAATGCAGAAATATTGTTATAAAGTCTCTACGAAAATACATTTTCAGGTAAAATATAATAAAGGGCTAAAACAGATGTAACACAAACAAGTATCGTCTAATGCTATTGGTGGCATTCTGAGGGTAATTCCTTCACCAAAACCCTGCAGGAGTGAGCAATGCGTCAATTAAAATGAATATTTTGGGATGCGTCTTGTCAGTTGTGGAAGGTTTCTGTTTTCTGCTCTGTTTTCTACAGGTTAGGGACTAACTCCAGGCTCCCCTGCAGCGAGGGGCTGAACCTTACTTTGTTTCGTTGCTGTTCATGTTCTGTACCAGAGTGGCTGTGAGCAGTGCCCCGTGAGCACCTCGTTCATGAGGAGCTTAGTTTCAAAGGCAAAAGGAGAAAATCTTTGTCGGAAATACAGCATGGGAAGGGAAATGGAAAAATGGCACGGAGCTTTAATTCTCTGCACAACCGGGTGTCAACAAAGGCGCTTGATTGATCTGGTTGATGAGAAAACCTTGGATCTTGAGGCCAAATATCAGTAGAGATTAGGTCTGGGGGTTGGCAGGGGGTCAAAAAAAAGCATGAAGAACCTGCAGCCAGGCATGTGCGGTCTCAGTAGCTGAACATGCCAGCTGAAGTGCGCGGCTTTACACCCATGTTTTTTCGGGAAATGAACCTGGCTCTGCAAAGCAATGCCCAGACTGTCGTTTACATTTTCTTAACAATGCTGCATACGTGCACTACCTCTGAATGGTGCTAAGCAGAGAACATACCACAGAATAACAGGTATTTCCTAAGACCTGTGTTTTTCTTTACACAATTAGTTTCTTGGCTTACTCCAGTTGCTCCTGACAAGTATGACGGATTTCACCTTGTGTTAAGTGAGAGCAAGCAGCAGTGCTGGCTAGCCCCTGGTGTCAGCCCGTGGTGCCGCAGCTCCTGACTCACCTCCTGGGTCTCACAGCCTCTCTTGCAGCTGTCGGTGCTGCCTTTGCAGCTCATCCTAGGACCAAAGAAACCAGAGCAGTTTATTCCCACTTTCTCCCCCTGCCTACTCTTGCACACACTCAGATCAGCGTTACATCCCATAGCCTGTGGCATTTTCAAATGCTGGCTGTTATGCTGGCAACTATGGGAAGGGGGAGGAACAGTCAAAGATGTTAGAGCTTTTGGGGGAAAAAAATGTATAGGTGTCAAAAGGATTTGCTTATGTGGCACCACCAGCTGTGAGATAGGTGAGAACATCTTGCATAGCAGAGAACAGAGGACCTGCTGAGCACATCTGTCTTGCCCCAAAACTGCTGCAGGCTCATCAAAGTCAGCGTTAGAGTTGTGCTTTGTAACAAAAGCCAAAATCCCTGCAGTCTGCAAACCCATTCCTGCCTTTCTTTTACTTCCACTAGCCCAAGGATCGGCACCGGTGTTAGTCATGGCAGTGACTGAAAGCCCTTCCTGCTTTCCTGCCATCAGCTCCATCCATCTGTGGTGTGCAACAGTTCTCTTTCTGTAGCTGTGAGCAGTTTTGGCCCCATGCATTCTTGCTCTGGGGTTTTCCCCTGCCTCCACCCTTGTCTCATTGCACTGCGGGCCCCAGCAGTGGCAGGTGCTCCTGATCCCTTGGGCTGAGAACAGCCACCTAGAAGTGTTCGTGAAGAAAGCTCGTGTTTCTGTGCATAGTAACTCAGAAGAGGAGAAGTTATTTCCCAGCTGATCACCAAGACTGTCATGAGCAGCACGCACCCACCCCAGTGCTAAGGGAAGAGAAGATTCACAGTGACACAGTACATTTAAGTACAGTCTGCCCGTGTGGAGTCCTCCATTTGAGTTACATTCAGTGTGAGATTATAGAATTTGCAAGTGAAGTTTTTCAAGGAGGGAAAAAGCCCTTAGAGTTCTTCAACTTTGGATTTTTTTTTTTCAATGGTGACTTGTATTTTCTTTAAACAAAATACAAGGAAAAGGGGAAGCGAAACTGACTTTGCAAAAGAGACATCACAGCCTCTAATCAGTAGGTGGGAATGTAAGAGATGAATTTTCTCTGTATCTGAATATACTGCTCTTTTATGAATCTGGCAGCAGTTGTTTGCCAGGATCTCCAGCGATAGGAATGGGAAACACGGTGTGAATGCAGTGAGGCTCTGCCTTGCAGTGGATGTGAGCTGCTGGGCGGCAGCGTGCAGCTGAGCAGGATGGGTCCTGCAGGCACAAGCATCCCCTGCAGCCTTGGCAGGATTCCAGGGGTGCTTGCCATCTGCCCAAGGTGGTGGTGGTCACAGATACACATTGCTGCTCCTGGAGCCCTTTTGCTCCACGTTGTTGGCATGCAGGGCAAAAAATGGAGGGGAATTCTGGTGTGCAACTCTGAGAGCAACAGAACTATTGCTGGTTTGAGACAAGCACTTCCTCCCCAACTCTTTGAAAGAAATTACGAAGGCCATTTGTGTGTGTGTGTGTGGTTTCCGTTATCATTGGAACCTACATGTCCTAAATTTTCTTTAATTTTTCTGTTTTTATTATATTTTACATTTTTTGCATTAATGTTATTTCCACAAATGCAAACTTAAGAGTCATACAGAAGGCAGGTAGGTGTGCGTATGGGGCAGCATTGGTTGTCCTTGGACGTTGCTGAGTCCTGAGGAGCTGGAAAGTTATGGAAGTGGGGAGGAGAGCAACAAGGAAACACCGGGCATGCTGTAAGAGGTGTTGTAAAAGCATGAAAAGCTCACAGGGAGCACCTGTGTGGGGATAGGCATCAGGTTGGATCCGCACTGGCACGGTGGGCAGGCAGTGATCTGTGCTGTGAATCTGTGCTGAAATCAGCACAGTTTGGCCAAATTGTAGCTA